AGTTATGAATCTTTAAAAAAGAAAAAGACGTGTAGGTGGCGCCCCCTACGAGTAAGAGCAATAAGAACATCAGGTTCGAATTCGACACCTCAAAAACCTCCTATTACCAAGTTTCGTTTAATTAAGTTCAGTATTTCAAAAGTTATTTGAAAAAAACGAAAATAAAAATAAAACTTCAACATCCTGTATCCTGGAAATGAAGCGTTTCCGGACATTCATTTATTTGGACAATTCATATTAGAATATTGTGAGGAATCACAATATTCATAAGTACTTTGAACTTTGTCAAAGTACTTTTGAATCACCCTGTATACTTCTGTATGTGTATATATGTGTTACACAATTAACTAAGTATGTACTATCATTTTTTTCAATGTTTACTTTTACTGTTCACCATTACTATAGATGAATGACTATAATACTTGCAAATTTACTGTTCTGTTATATACAATTCAACTGAATGTTATCATGTTCTGTTAATTTTAGATAGATTACGATCGTCAAATTTATCATAGAACAAAGAACGACAATCATAGGTATACGTCACTGTGATTGGTGTCATCATGTGAATGTGGATCCACCCCGGTTCTACCCCGTTCCCTTTTAAGAAATCTACCTCGATGAAAAAATGGCTTTGGCAACACTGCTAACAGGTAGTATTCTTAGGTACCTCTATTGATACGTACTACTAACAGATATTAATAGATTAATTTTATGCCAGAGGTTCCAGTATGAAGTCTTTGTCACTTGTTGTAAGTTTATAAAGTTCGACAAAATGAATTCTGTGAAGCGAAAGTGTTTTGCAAGAAAAAAGTGCAATATTACACCGATTAGAAGCCGGTGAATCAAATGCAGCCCTCGCAAAGGAGTCTGGTGTATCCCATTCTACAACCTCCACAAAAAGAATAAAGATAAGATCGAGTCGCTGTTTAATGGCAATGTTTTGAAATGCAAACGTGTAAGGACTTCTCTGCATGAACAGTTGGATAAGGAATTGTGAAATAATGTTGGATTTAGCCTAACTTCAAACCCAGATGATTTCAACGAAGAAGACGACGTGCTGCTGAGCATTT